AATGAACCAATGTGGGATGCAATACACAAGTGCAGGGAAGCAAGCTAGGAATTTTCTTGTATAGCTATCTCTATCCCAAACTAGCAAAAATGATATGTCCTTCTTGTTATCTCATGTTTCTCTTCAACAAAATAGGTTTTTATATTTTTTAAATGGAGGGTTTGCTCAATCAGAAAAATATGAGTTCTTGCGAGGAATGGAGAGAGGGAGCCAAGACAAAACTGTGATGAGGCCAGGCTCGCCCTTGCCTCTCAGAGATGGAGGACAACATCACACTTTTCTGAATCTGCAGTGTGCCAGGCAAGAAACAGAATACACATGAAAAGATAAGAGAGGGCCTGCCCTTTTTTCTTCTCCTGAGATAACCCTAACCTCATTATGTGTTTATAATGAATCTAAACTCATTTAAATCTGCTCAGATGTACATTGTTCAATACAATTGCTTTCCCACAGTCAAGATGGGGCATCAATTTCTTTTCTGAATATATATATCCTATCTTGAAATCACAAAATCTTACATTAAAAGGTACCTTAAATTAATAAAGTTCTGAACTAACATGACTTATTTTCCTGCAATGAGTCATAGCTTCTAGAAATTCTTAAAATATTACAGGTTTTTTTTTTTTTTTTTGGAGATGTGTCTCACTATGTAGCCCAGGTTAGCTTCAAACTCTCAATACTCCTGCCTCAGCCTCTCAAGTGCTGGGATGAGAGGCATGCATGTCTGGCTAAAATATTACAATTTTAAAGAGAGTGATCAGTAGCTTCAGGAGAGCACACATAAGATGATATTCCCCATATGCGGATACCTATGGAAAACATTCATGCAGCCAGGCTTGATCTGACTCCAGCATTAGGAGCTTGTCTTCAGTATCTATAATACGCTCAAGAAAGGCCTCTCCAAATGAAAATTCTCATTTTGGCCTCTCTGAAGTTAAAGTGGATGTATTACATCAACTACATGAGATAAAGTATGAGAGATTTTTATAGCACTCTAGGAAAAAAAAGGGGGGGCAGGGTACCAATAATGACTTCCTTGCTTGCAAATACCTTAGAAAGAGTAAACCAAAAGTTTAGAACATTCATCCAGATTAGGATGGCAGCAGACCAGCTAGCAGAGAAATACTGAAGTAAGATGGAAACTAGAAGTGTTGGAAAGTTAATCTGAGGATGACAATCATTCCGAAAAGAAATGTGTCATAATCCCTAAGAAGCCCAAAAAATGCCTGTAAAAGGGGGTCCAGGTTCAGGAGTGTCACAGAGTACTGTAGACAAAGAAACTGTAGGTGACTATCAGCTGTTGAAAAAATGCGGACAAACATACTAGAACTCTCAGAACTGAGGGACAAAAATCAAGGCCTTTTCAATGGAGCCATCAGAGAAACAAGGCCTAAGAATATGAGAGGAGAAGTTAAAACCTTATCTGACCGGGAACACAAGGTAATGAGGGAGGAGGCAGCTGATGACAGACAACTGAGCTAAAAAGGAAGGCTGCCTTTTGGGAATTAGAGACTTATTTATCCTTTATATAAAAAAGATGTGCCTTTCTCTAGATGGGCCATGTACTGGAGACATAATGAGGGTTTCCCATAAGTATAGACATCCAAATGAAGGCATCTGGAAGGGTCAGCAAACAGAAGAGAGCTGTGGAGGTGGTAGGGCTTGCTTCTAAGCAATCAGGAAACTGCACGTTGGTATTCTTCCCTTTCTGTCTTCTGTCTCCTCTGGTCTCCCAGTGGGTGCCTGATATACAACTCCCGGAGTACCTATCAGATCATCTGAGAAAGGCTGGCAGATCATTCCCCTTCACAGGGGAAGTAGTGGCTGCAGAGTCCTGAGAAAGCTCATCAACTCTTAGGCAGGCAGCTGTGCTGACCCAAGAAGTCAGAGAAGTGAACAGGCGCCCTTGCCCTAAAGCCTACAATGTTTCTCTAAAAGGAGTGGCGGCCAAGCAGTGCGCTGGAAAGCAAAGTCAATGGAAGAGCACTTTGCACCACTGGAGATAACCAGAGAGAAAAACTAGTGACCAAGGTCAGGAGCAAGGAAATCTGTTGGAACTGACACTCTTGTGGGGAGTAACTAATGAAAATGATGGCCTTGAAACATCACCTTCACCCACTTACAGAGTTTCAGAGTGAATGACTGATACGAATGCAGCAGATGTTATTAATTTAGTCTTTGCCAAAGCGTTAGACACAGTAGGGCAAGAAATTTTACTTGGAAATTAATTCAAATTGGCTTGGTTCAGTACACAATCACTGATTAAAATGTGGCTGAAGGATGATAAACAAAAGACAGTTAAGTGACAGCCCAAGCAGTGAGAGACTTGGGGTCAACACCAAAGCCTTTCTTGTTGAGGGGTTCTATTCAAGGCACAGAAAAGGAGTAAACAACTCACTAATGAGATCTGCAGAGGACATTAAGCAGGGAGGCAGAGAAACAGAATTGACGGAGGCATCAAAACACAAATCAGAGTTCAACAGGAAAAAAATCTAGCTAATCTATCTAGGGGAAAACAACCCTAAATTTGGATAATATTCAAAAGACAGGCAGGTTGAGGGGCAGAAGAAGCATGTAAAAAGAGCTCTGACTTCTTGTAACTTAGCAATGGAACAAGTAAAAACGCTAAGGGGACATGAGACGGGTGTCATGGCTGGGATGGAGTGTGCTGACCCCAAGGCAAACTAAAATAAAGCAGAGTGTCAAGAGACAGGTGGTCTGGGAAAGAGGACAACTTTATCATTTCTAAAATGTGGTCCATTCTGTACGGAAAATCTTTTGTGATAGCTACATAACCATCTCTACCTAGCAGGTGTTCTGGTCTTTTGTAAATCTCACTTCACTTCTCTGGGGGTTAGCATCTAGAAGATGGCACTAGGCCATCATCCTAGGGCTCTCTGACAATAATGCTCCAAAGGAAAACCCACTCACAGTACAGGTTGGCCATTTCTCCTAATTTTTTATGAGGCCTGTACTGCCTTAGGGCAATAACTCCCAGCCTTGGGGAAGTGGTTAATTTCTCTCCATTTACTCAGCCTGCAATAATGCAATGACCCCCGAAGCCAATTTCTCCACCATCAGTCTGAAAGCAATGGCTCAACACAATTATTTCTAGGCAGCTCACTGTTTTAGCAAGCAACCATCTTGTTATTTTACTTCACCACAAAATCAACACTAAAGAGGCTGTTTTCCTCTTAAAACCTAAATCTTCAAAAATTTCCCTATATATGTATACTCATTAAATAACACTCACAACCATGGCTATTTTTAACAGCATAATATGAGAGCTGTTTCTGGCTTCACTTTCCAGAGAGCTTTGCAAATATTTCCATGCTTACCTGCCTGTCAGAATTAAATATTCACTCTAGTGCCACAGTAAATCCAATGCTGGAAATTTGACTAGACATCCCATCATATTGCTCACGGGTCCTGTGACTTTGGGAACACCTCATCTGTTCTTCAAGTTGCCAACAGACCAATCTAGCCATGAGCCTGCCCCATGAATTCTACCTACAGTTTAGTGATGGTCCATTTCCTAATATAGCCACATTTCCCATCATGGGGTCTTTAAGCCCACAGGGAGGAGTAGTAACAGAGGAAGGGAGAGAAAAAAGAGGAAGTGAGGGGTATTATGAGAAACACCAATTATGAATCTGTATCACATTAATATTACTATAATTTTTATTTGGCTTTTTTGAACTAGCATCTTACTCTTCAGGCTGGCTTGGAACTCCTGATGTTCCTGCCTCAACCTCCTTAGTACTGGAATTACAGGCATGTGTCACACTGTATTTTTTAAATGGCTACAAAATGAGCCTTAAACAATAAAATTATGGGTATTTTCACTACTCTTTGTACTTAAGAAACTATTCTTAGACAGGGCCTATTGGGAAAACCCAACAAGAAAGAATTCAAGAAGCCACAACAGGCTGACAGACTGATTTCTCAGCTGACATTCTGTGTGACATTCTATAGATGCTCTAGCCATTAGGATGTGACATGGTGTTAGAGGTAAATGTCACATATCAGAGCAATGTTCTGGGCCAAAGAGCAACAGAAGTGATCTCAATGACAAAGTCTGAAACCAACATTAGATAACTTGTGCCCAAAAGCATGCCTTCTATAAATGTAATGTATAACCTGACAATGACCAAACTTCTAGACCCAAATGGGACCTAGAGGCCACAGAAACACTGCTGAGTGAGGCAAGGTCAAGCTTGTGCAAGGACTTTGAAACAACAGGTATACCTGGTTGAGTCTAAGCAGTCAGCTGAGCTATCCACACAAGTTTAGAACTAAGTAGCTCAGATCTTGCTGTTTCTCAGGAAGTCTGGGAATAACTCAACTAACAGCACCACATGACGAAAGTCTCCCTGGGAAAGGGCCTTGAGGAATGTCAACAGCAAGAAACACTGCTGAGCAGTCTGCATGTCCTTGGGGCAACCAGCCACAGGATGAAGGACAAAAGCAAATGTCACAGGGCATCTCAAATGCTCTCCTGCCAGCTGTCAGAAGTGTTTCAAACCAAAACTCATTTCGTTATAAATGTTTTCATTTCCTTTGTACATGACGAAGGGTCTAGAGGTGATGAATGGGAGGAGCTTGGAGGAGAAGCCTCTGAAAGTAAGAGACAGAGGCAAATGTACTGCACATATAAACAGAGTTTCCCTGTTGGTCCTAGGAATGGTGATAAAAACGTCTGATATAGTGTTCTTGTCCATGGTTCCTTTTGTAACACCAACACAGGGAGTTCATATCTTATGTATGTTGCACACTTGAAAAAGTGGAGACCCAAGTGTACTTAATCAAGGTTACACAGTAAGTTCAAAGTGTATCCTTATTATTTTCATGGGGAAAAATCTGGAGTTAAAAAAAAAAAGATACAAGCTCTATCAGCCTATTTTTTTTCTAGCCCATTCTGCTCAGGGATAGGTGCAACACTGAGACAGAAAAAAATCAAGTTTATAGCATTCAATGTGTTTAGTAATTTTTCAACTCACCTGGCTTCTGCAGCTAGCAACTCATCATAGTGTGAGGATCTCTGGTCATCATCCTGCCGGTATCTGATCACTGTGGCTAGACCTTTGCTGACAAGTGCTTCAGCAATGTTTCTGCAACAGAAAAAGATAGGTCAGTGAGCACTGAGGTACATATGGGGCTCGGTCAACAGAAATAATAACAGTTAGCACCTGGAGGTCTTCAAGTACTCTGGCAGAAGGAGGGAGAAGCCAAGGATTTCAAGACCAATGAGTTGCTAAGCTAGAAATCCAAATAAAAGGTTAAATAACAAAGTTTCCTACCTCAGCATTTTCCTGGCTAGTACAGTCAGATGCTATATAAATCCATAAATAAAAACTAGCAAAAATATCTGTAAAAAGCCCACATTAGGCCAGGCTATTTAAGAATGTTATAAACAAGCCACTTCCCTCAAGAAAAGTCTGCTCTAAAATATCAGGCACATAAGATAAAAAACAAAACACATAAAAGCATGACCTAAATTTCACAAAATCTCTTTCTCAGCCTATACCTTAACTAGAAAATGTCTTGTTTTACATTGCAATGTGAGAGGCACTGGTTTAATCTAACAGTCAAAGTATTTATCTTCTTATCACAACTCCATTTTGGGTGGCAGATCCACCCAAAGTGGGCTTGGAGGAGAACCAGTGAATTGGGGGAATTGGCAGGCAGGAAGGACAGATTCTAGGGAAAGAAAACAAAATGGAGACCAAAGAAAGTAAACAGTATAAAACTCAATGTGATAAGTTTGGGTCACCAATGAGACTTCAAAAGATTTCAGATTAGAATCTGACTTGAAGCAATTCTCACATGGATTAAGTCTTCTTTTCTTCACTAGAACAGGAAAAGTGGTCCCACTAGGAAATGGGAGGGGCCTCTGTAAATTGCTTTCAACTACCAACCAAAAAAGAGAGCATGGAAAATGATGCTAAGATGATTAATGAGGCATATTTGCATGCTTCCTCCCCAACCTGGAAAGGAAACTTTGATATGAACAGCAAACTGCAAAGATAAGTTGTCAAAAACTTAACCACAGCAAATGCTGGGAAGCGAAAGTCATGATATTATTGAGAGAGTGGTGGTTATGGCTTTCTTTGTATTTGTCATGATTACACCAAAGGCCCCACTCATACCATCTGGTCCGCTGCCCTTTAGGGAGAGGGTATGGTAAGCAATAGGTTACTATGCCATATGCTATGATTTAGTATTGTTTGAAAATGTAGTTAACTCTTAACACACTAGAGGTCCTCAGAAAGTGATCCTGTGGGGCTGTTGGCATCTGAACTAAGCAGTATCTCTGCATATTTAATCCACTTAAAGGTACTATTCATCTAATCCTAGGAAAACAGACTTTTTTGAAAGAAAAAGAAAAAAAAATGTACTGGTAGAAAAAAGAGGAAAAGATGCTATGGCTGATTTTCATTATATGCCCCTCTGCTGCCTGCATGATATTAATATCTCCAACCACCACAGAATTAGCACTTCTCAAAATCCACTCCCACAAAGAGGCTGCTTTGCTGGCCATCCGGTCTCCTGAGTCACTGCATAAGTGTGCTGGCAAATGGTGTCATTATCACAAAGTTGTATTTGGCAGCACGTAGAAGGCAACAGCCCCAAATCAGCAGATGTAGATGTTGATACACGATGAGGATTTAACTGAGGTTGTCACCAAGGAGTCCTACCAGAGCCAGAGAGAGGCTCCACCCACCAAAAAGCTTGCGAGATGGGTAGGGAGAGGCATGGGAACAATTCCACTTGTGACAGGTTGAGATGTCTTGGTGATTTTAAATGCCAAGAGAATAAAGAAATATTTGTTACTGACCACTGGCATTTTACAGTCAATATGAGGTCTGGAGGAGAGAGGTGGAATGGCAGAGCAGGCAAGGAAACTTTCACTCAAATAAGCTTCTGTATGAAAAGCTAGAGAACACTAAGCAAAACAGAACAAATTTTTAATGAACCAATACTACTAATGCTGTGCAAATCAATTCCCATAATTACCAAGTACCTGCCTGGCCAGTGGAGACCTGGGCCACAATTCTTCCCCACTCTTCATTGTCCTTGTCCTCTTTATCCTATCAGCAAATGTCTACAAAATAGTTAAGGCCTGCGCGCTGGACTTCCGGAAAGCCTTGCATTCCCAATTTATGCCATACACTGACCACTTCTTACCTCTCCCTCCCATCTAAAGCTTAACATCAAACCCCAGTTATGTTCTCTTAGCTCCTTATCCTAATTACAGATTTACTCTGGAGGAACAGTTGTGGTACTGGTGTGGTAGTGGTGCTTTAGTAGTAAGGAGAGCAAAACACACAAAATGATAAAAACTCTTATTATTGGGCATTTACTACATTCCTGGCATGTGAGAATTACAAGTTCTCTTGGTACATTATTATGCAAGATTGCAATCATTAGCTCATTGTCTATCTTCCTGACTAAAGAGGAGCTCTGTAAGGGAAAAGCTCACATGTTTTTTGCTCTGTACCCCAGTTCATAGCACCATATTTCGCACAAGGTAGGTAGTAAATACTTCCTCAATGGAATTATTTGGTTCATTTAGGACAAAAATAATTTTTTAAATGCAGTAAAGTTACACCAAGTTCTTTTTAATTTTGTTTAAAAGCATCCAAAAAACTTGAGATTTTTTTTTAGGGTAATCATTTTATAAATACAGCACTGGAACATTATTTATTTTCCTACCCAAATTTGCTAAGCACAGAAATGAGGATAATATAACTTTTTACATGCCTTCACCACTTTTGTCTTTTTCTTTCCCATTTATCTGAGGCTATAATGTGAAAAGATAATGAAAGTGAGAGTGAAAACAGAGTAAGTTAATGCACTTGACTGTTCATTTCTTTGGGCTGCTAATGAAAGGTCAGGGTATTTTTCCCTAGCTAATGGTGGCTCAAATCAACCATCAGTGTGTTCACCAGTTGCCCAGTAAGAAACAGAACATTAAATTGTCTGCCATGACATCATGCTGCCTTAGACAAATTTACAAATTCTGCTTTCTTGAGTGTATCAATAATTCCACTGCAATTACACATGTCTGGAACGAATGGATAATTTACAAGCAGCATATAAAAAGGGACCTAACACAGCCTTGAAGGTCTAGCAGTAAGTCATCTTTCAGTATCAGTTAGAATAGCAAAGAGAATTGCTGCTGGGATTGAAATGTTTCTCCAAACTAAAAGAGAGATTGAAGGGCTATGTCCATTAGGTATGATCAGGTGTTCCAGACAGAAACACAAGTGACATGGGTCAGTCTTACTTGCAGGCTTTCTCAAGGATCTACAAGTAGTGGGCATCTTTCTCACCTACTCCTTTCCACATAGCAAGCAGGTTGACATAAGTCCATACTTTCCCACATTAAGATGGTTTTGTAACCATCAGGTCTTATATTCTGCAAACATGGACAAAAAAGTGATTTAGGCCCAAATAAAAGAGTAGTGATTTTCTTTTGTTTGTTTGCAGAACAAGGGATTGAACTTAGCGCTTCATGCCTGGTAGGCAGGTATTCTACAACTCGAGCCACTTCAACAACTTTATTTGTATTGGTTATTTTTGAGATAGGGTGTTGCTTTATGCTTGGGCTTGCCTGGACCTTTGTCCTCCTATTTATGCTTCCCTGCATAGCTGGGGATAAAAGCATGCACCATAGCACTCAGCCATTGGTTGAGATGGGGATCTTGTGGAATTTTTGCCTGGGCTGGCCTCCAACAATGATTCTCTTGATCTCTGCCTCCCAAGAAGCTAGGATTACAGGCTTGAGCCACTGTGGCCAGTGAAGTAGAAATCTTAAAATGTAAAATTTTAATTATAGTAGACTCTGTAAGTTTCTTTTTTAAATCACATTTTTGCCTGCCATTCTACTCCTCTCCCCCAATCCCAATACTGTAAACAACAAACAATACATTGATAGATAAGAAAATTATCTAGAAATTAGTTAGATTACATCACTGTGTGTGTATGTGATATTCTGTAATAATGTGGAATTATGGAAGAGTTGCACATAACATACAAAGAACATGTCTTCTTCTTGGAACTATATGAGAGTAAGTGGCTGCCCTGTTGTACTGTCACCTCCAAATACTTTAGTGTACAGTTCCTATAAACCAGGACATTTTCTTACACACTCAAAAATCAAGTAGAACAAGGAATTAACATAGGCACACTAATAATCCACAAGCCAATTGTTAATGGAATAGTTAGAAAGAAAAATACCTACAGTAATAGTTCACCCATGTCCATGAGGGATATGTTCCAAGATCTCCAGTGAATGCCTGAAAATGAGGATAGCACTAAACCCTATTATATAGCTACCTCTAATTCAACCAACCCTACACTGAAAATATTCACACACACAAAAAACCCTGCATTTGTTCTGAACATATGCATATATTTTTGTCATTATTTATTTTACAATATAGTGTAATAACTATTCACATAGCATTTGCATTGCATTTGATAGTATAAAAAATCTGGGAAAGATTTAAAGCATATAGACTGATACTGATAAATATATGCAAATACTATATTTTATATATATGGGACTTGACTTGAGTATTCATTGATTTTGGTTTCTGTTGGGAGGGAGTCCTAAAGCTGATCTCCCATGGATATCAAGGGGTATACTTTTATAGTTCCCCCCCCCATACATACGTACCTATGATTAAGTTTAATTTGTAAGTTAAGTACAGTAAGAGTTAACAATAACTCATATTAAAATAGAATAATTATATTATAATTAAAGTTATATGAGTGTAGTCTATTTCTCTCAAAATATCTTTCCTTGTACTTTTTTTATTTAAAAGAAGCACTTTATAGCTTCTCTTTCTTTTGCATAACTGAAGTATAAGCATCATTAAGCTTGTGATTTGGAGCCATTATTAAGTAAAATAATAGTTATTTCACAAAAGTCAATCTGAAAGTCAAGATAAGCACTAAGTAACTACTGGAAGGGTAGCATATACAGTATAGATATGTCAGTCAAAAGGATGACACAGCCTGGGCAGGACAGAAAGGGATGGTGTGAGATTTCATCGGATAACTCAGAATGGCATATTATTTAAAACTTATGATTTATTATTTC